AATGAGAATTTCTGCTGGGAGGGCCCACATATATGCATTTTAACAAGCTCCCCAAGAAAGTGTGCCACATTTTGAAGAACTCTAGACTAGCTGATCCCAAGAAGTCCCCATAACACTACGTTATAAATACCTCGGTGTGAGTTAGTCCAATGTTGCCCCTCCTAGAGATACTTGACAGAAGGCAATACATTTCCGAAATGAAGGAATTGGCAATGTGAAATGACTGACAATTTGGATGATCTTCCATAATCTAACTTCAACCTGCCCCTTTGCATTCTCTCTCACAAATTCCCTTTCAGATACTTTGTCTTAGTTCCATTGCTACTTTGTCTTAGAGTAGCAAAGAGATTTCATCTGTGTAGGACCTCCAGACCTCCACCTAGCTCATGGTTCCTGGATTCCTGGAAAAACACAGTCGGGGGTGGAAGTACCTGTCCCTCGCGTTTGCCACCTCTGCCCAACATTCTTCTTGATGTTGTGGCCTTTACTTATTTTTTATTTTATTTACTTAGTTTTCCTCTTCTTAGAAAGCTTTATTCCTCTTTTTCATGTTAAAAAATTTCTCCATTTTTTAATGTACCTTAGATACCTTCTCCCCATAAAGCTGGCTCCTGATCTTCCCAGATGAAAATGTCTTCCTCCCTTAACCTCCCATTGACTCCTCAGCTGGCACCAGTTTATGGCACTTAGCACCTCCCGTATATTCTCATTAGTAATCTCATCTGTGTTGAGTTGGAGTCTTCTCAAGAAGAAGGAGGAAGTACCAGGTCAATTTCATCTTTCTGCAAAAGAGTGTCTGGATGGATCCAAACTGGGAGCAGAGCTTGTAGAACTGGTTGGCTGCTGGGTGTTTGCAGCCTGAGCTGGTAGGCAAAGGATGTTGTTTGTGTGTCTTTCTGCAGGAGGAGGGTGTTTGGTGGCAGGTGTGGGTTGGAGGTTGTATGAGATCTCGAATGCTGGGCTGGGATTATGTCTGTCTACTGCCCTGTTTGAAGGGCCAACTGAGTATCTGAGGGGAGAGTGGTTGGAGCCAAGAGCTGACGGGTCTTTGGGCTCAAGCGTCACTGCATTAGCGCCTGGGTGCCTAAGTGTGAGACACGGAGAGAGTGGGCTGTTGATGACGGTCCTGAGCCCTTCAGAAATAACTCAGGAGGACTTTGGGGTGGGGCTGGGGTCCTGCGGGAATGCATGGAGAAGAAAGCTGGAGGTTTCACAATGCGGATCTGAAGGGAAAGTTGTTCTCACTGGCAAACTGGAGAGCTCCTGGGGCTGCTGGCACACATTCACGCCACCACCCCCGTCCAGAGCCTAGCATGCGACTGTTCCACTCATCACCATATCTCCTCTGAGACAGCACAGCGGCTGGAGCATAGCAGGCACTCAGTAATGATCCATGGAATCGATGTTCCATAAATGGTGGTGATGGGGAGGGGTGAAGGGAATGGTGTGTGCTCTACCAGCTCCTTAGCTCTAATCCCCCATGAGCCCACCCCCTCTGCCGTAGGCTCAGCCCAGAACCTTGGAGACCACAGTTCAAGTCTGTTGGGCTGTCTTTGGCACTCATTTTCCAACCTGGATTCAAGGGCAGTACCAGGGCTTGCTTGGGGAAGTTTTGACTCTGGAAAGTCAAAAAGGAGCGTCTCCCCTCGGCTGGAGTCAAATCCATGGACACAATAAATGGATTTGTCTCCTACTCTTCTTCATCCTTGGCTTTCCTGTGTGAAAACTCAGCAGCTGGTGGCAGAGAAGGGTCTCTCTTTTCTTCACCCAGCCTCTCCACCCAGGCTCTATTTACACTAGGGACTCAGGCCCAGAGAGGAAAGGGAATTATTTGCCCAGAGTCACACAGTAAGTTAGTGTCAGGGCTGGGACCAGAACATGGGTTTCTGTAGCCTACTCCTTTTCTTACTAGGATGTCGCTTGTCCACGTAGAGCCTGTTAACACTGGTGATA